TCTCTCTCTCTCTCTCTCTCTCTCTCTCTCTCTCTCTCTCTCTCTCTATGTCTGTCACGATAAATAATTCTATTTCTTTTATGTACATGTATATTTTTAAACGGCGTCGGAAATTTATATTTCTTTTCTGATAAATGATTTTAATTTAGAAGTATAAGTAATATCACTCACGCTTTTCGCAATCCTTCCCGTTGTAACCGAGACGACAGTCACATTTGTACGAATCGTGGAGATTCGTGCAGGTACCACCGTTTTTACACGGGTTGAGAAATTCGCATTGCTTCTGCATTTTCTCGCAGTTTATGCCCGCGTATCCATATTCGCATTCGCACGAGTAGCCATTCCCGTTCGGATTTATACGACACTGGCCATGGATGCAGGGATTCGATGCGCAAGGATCGTACGACGTTGTCGGCGGCTGTGTGGATGCCGGAGTACTGATAGTCGTATGGAACATCGTCTGATTCGGATGAGGTTCGGAACAATCCTCGATATTGGCCGCGTCGATCGATGATTTTATTATATCTACACTGACGGATGCGACTTCGAGCTGTATTATTAAAAACACAGATTTAAAAATACACACGTTAAATAAAATGTCCTTTTCTCCACTTACTGGATGGAATTGTCATTATTATATATTTTTAACTATACATTATTTCTTATATAAATAATTTTTATTTTAGAGTTTTGTCAAAATTTAGATCTCTGATTAAAAACGATGATATAAAATGTATTAAAATATTTGAAAAATAAATTAAAATCAATTAAGAAGATCTCTTAATTTGTTTACGCTAATGGAAAATTATTAAATTCTAAATTTTATATATTATATAATAATATTAAAAACAGAATTATGAAAACAATTACAAAGTTTTGTGTAATAATTTTCTCACCTCGCTTATACATCCACGGAAGCTACGATCGATGCCGATGTTCCGATTGATCGTGATCCTTCTATGATCTATTCCTCCGATGTACAGAGGCGTATTTAGGTACATGGTTCTCGCAGTTCCGGATGATTTGCCCTCGACAAACGGCTCGCCGTTCACCGACAGTTTCGCATCCTTGAAATCTCGATTTACGATAACGTACGTCCATATACCGGGTTGAACGGCATAGGGTGATCTTATCGTCGTTACTCCGGAGCCGATGTCGAAGCGAAACTCGACGTGCCTGTCCGTTATCACAAGAGCTGCAAAATCTCCGAGGCCTTCGTCACTTTGAGAACAATACATCAGGATCCCGTCCCCGGAGTCCGCAGGATTAAAACTCATGGCTACCTTAAGCCTAAAATTAGGTGTAGAAAAAGTTAAAAAAATGTATTACTGCACCTTTTTGTTTTCAGAAAGAAAAACTTGATGCAATTCACGTCATATGTTAATTATTCTTTTTAGTTTGTTTGTTATACAAAACTCAATTTGCACACTTGCACACTTTTGTTCTCTATCTTCCTTATGTGTGAAATATTTGTATAAATGTCTTGTTATTCTTCGTCTTTATAAAAGAAAAATTAATTGGAATTAGTTTTATGGCAATCAAATCGATCTGCGTACGGAAGATACGTGCAAATAATAATATCGAAAGGAAAGGATTCATATGTATATACATATGTACATGAACATATATAGAAGCTCGTTTAAGCAAAACTATTAAAACAAATATATAAATAAATGTTTCTGACTTAAAACTTACCTCTTTGTCTACGTTAATGTTTTACGACATGCAAGATGATGAAATGCAAGTGAAATATTAACTTAAAAAGTGTGTGACTTATTATATTAACTTCTTTTTTATTTGCTTTAAAAATATTTATTCGTATAGCATGAGTTCGCTGAGTATATAAACGATTCGTACGTGAAACATCTCTTTTTCTTTGTAATATTATATATATATATATAGATTCTTAGATATATAAGTACAAACATTTTACATATGCTGTCGTATATAACTGATCATATATACGAATGTGGGGATGTTACGATTTTTCTAAGCTTGAGTGGGACTACTGTTAAATGCGATTGATTTGGCAGTGACTTCACGTATTACTTTTAATAATTAATAATGACTAAAGTGACGCGTTAAGTGTATTAATTAAGAAGCTGTACAAAACATATTAATTACTAATTCGTAAATTGACTGTTACTCTAACATTACAGCACCATCGACGTCCATTACAAGGAACTACGCACTAGGCAGGCTCGTTGTAAAATATCTGTTAAGAAACTCATTGCTTATTCTTCATTTTTTTCTTTCTACCATTCCAACTACACATACCAAAAATAAGAAAAGAGAAAAAAGGCAGTGAGGAAATCGCGCAAAAATAAGTTAAACTGATTGTTTCTTTCTGGGCACAGGCGTAAACGTATCTCAAAAATTTTAAGTGACTCATTATGATGATTGATTAGAACTACGTAGGCAGTAATTTATTATTGCAGTGATTGCATTGGATAAGTAATGATTCTCTAAGTGCGTAACATTGGTGGCTAGGTCTAGCTAATGTTTTGTGTGGTGCAAATTATTGTGGTGATGTGGCCTTGATCGTGGTTTCCTAACTTGTGCGTTGCGTAATCGTGATCGACTGTGTGTAGTGGTCGAACTCTCTCTTTCCCTGAAAAGAATTTTAGTGATTAGGATGCTTGAGGATATCCATATGCGCTCTGACAATGAGATTAGTACCTATATTCCATTTATAGCCAAAAATCTGTTAGTTCAAGAAAGTGTAAAGATATATTTTGATAAGCAAAATTAAATAGTTTAATTAAAAATTAAATTATTATAATCTTATGTCTAACCATTACTTTCTGTGTTTTAAAAATCCCGGAAAAATATAAGAAAAATTAATTTTCTCTGGAATCTATTTTTATATTTTTATATTTATAATTATATATATATATATATATGTGTGTGTCGTTAATTATTGATTATACCCTTCTAAAAGATCTTTCGAAATAATATTTAAGAATAATTTTGACAAAAAGTCTACTGATTTCCTTCATTTTATTTATTTTTCATAAATAATGTATGTATTAAATAATTTCTTAACAAAAGTCAAAGTAAAATAAATATGCAAGACTCAATCATTCAACTATAATATGTTCTATCAAGTGCGTTTGTAACATCGACCAAGTGCAATCTATTAAGAAATAATTCACGTGCACGTGCGTTCAATTAAGCGGCGATACTTACCGTCTAACAGCTTTAGGAGTCTCATGGGCAATGAAAGCTCTTTCGTCATGAAAAGCCGGATCGTAAACGTTCACCGTATGCTGGCATTTCGATCCTGATTTTCCGATCGGACAGTAACAATCGAAACCGACTTCTTTCTCGACGCATTTACCTTCTCCACAAGCACCTGATATTTAATTCATAAATTAATTTTAATTTAAATTTTGAAAAATTTACGTTTTAATAACAATAAAGTATTTAAAATAATATTAATTAATTATTTATTAACTTTAATTTTTAGTAATGATACGTATAGCGTATGTTATATGTAATTTTTTAAATTGATAAATTTATATTATTACAAATACAAAATAGATTAAAATTAATAGTAAAATGTAATAGAACTGATTATATTGTTTATCTTTCTGTTTTACGATCATTTTCATGATCATTCTATCTTCGGTTAATCAGCCGATCACGAATAATAATACGTAAAGAGAAAAGTAGTCTAGCGACAAGTGTGTCATTGACAAGAAGAAAAAGCAATCGAGTTAAAGTTAAATTTTACACGACACTGTTTTGTAGTTTTAAGCATTAAGAATAAACATGTGTTTATTTACTAAGAAAGTATTATTCATTTTTCTTGAGTATGCATTTAGGAGCGTGATCGACTTGAATGCAAACTTTTTGCGTATAATACAATATATTCCATTATGTATTTAAACGAACTGGATGTAATAAATATAAATTAAAGTGGAATAAATTATATCGTATACCTGGATAACAAGATTCTCCACGATTATCGCAGTGTTTGCCGCTGTAACCAGCTCGGCATAGACAAGTATAGCCGTTCTTCGTGGCCGCTTCCTGACACACACCGTCATTGTTGCAGGGATTCTCGGCACAGGTCTCACAGGTCGTGATGCCCACGCTATCAGTCTGATCACCGATCAGATCGACTTGTTTCTCCCCGAGGACCAGTCGGCTGATGCATCCGACGAAACCTGAGCTCGCCTCAGCCTGCTCGTTGATTCTATTGTAGCTGGGTACTCCGCCGATGTAAAGAGGTTCCTTGAGATCCAAACCTTGACGTCTACCCAAGGCGACCACCTTGTAAGGTCCCTCGCCGTCCACCAGCATCGTTCCCTCCTTTCGATTGCGTTGGATCTTGATGGTATGCCACTCGCTCAGGGTGATATGCTTATCCGCGCGAATAACAGCTGGTCCAGAACCGAGATTGAATCTATTGAAACGAAATTCGATATGTCAATAATCTGCGCGTATTAGAAAGTATTTACTTTTCATCGGCAAATTCTACATTGACTTTGACAGCAATTTTTCTCAATCAATATTTAATTTGAAAAATGACACAAATTTTTAATTTTAAATCTTCAATATACGATAGATAGATATTAAAAATTATATTTATAATTCTATAATCAAAGTTTTTCAATCAAATAAAATTGACATTATATTTATCGAAATTCGACAAGTAAAATAAAATATTTAACAAGATATTCTTTCATTTACTTGAATTGAGGATATCCGTTAGCTAGAGATAGAACAATGAAGTCGCCGTTGCCATGACCAGATTCATCATTGTATAATAGAATTCCGTCGTAACTTTCCGGTTTGAAAGAGATTTCGATGTTAAACTTAAGGTAGGAGTCGGGTAAAGGAGGGAAAGCAATATAACTTTCGGGTGCCTGACTAAAATTAGGCACGACTCCTGTTACAACCAACACCGTAGGCACTTCGACTCGCGCTTCGTCATTGGTTCCAACGCAAATGTACGTTCCAGCATCTTCGGCTTTTACGTTAGTCAATTTTAATTTATTCTGCAAAATGGATTTATTAAGTAGCATAAGATATTTTATCAAAATATATATATATATATATATTCATTACTATGCTATGAATATTTTTTTGTTAAATATTTCAGAAACTTATATATTTAATTAATGACATACAAGTGCATTTTATATACCTCATAAGTCTGAGCATTACGTGGTAGAAGTCCACCATGTTTGTTCCATTGGAACTGTATCGGTGGGTCCAGATCTAAACGGCAATCCATTTCCAGACTCGAGCCATACGGTGCGAATTTAGTTTCAATCGCTGGTTCATCGAGGATGCCACCTGAAAAATTACGAGATCCTTCGTCCACAGTAATTCGCGATAAAATCAATCGTTTCGCTGGCTTTATACTTACATAAGACAACGTAATTTGTGCAAGCATTGACAAAAGATTATATATCAATATTTTTCAATATGTACAGATTTGCATATATTTATCGTCTTCTATTTGTTGCGTAAATTTATAAAATATATAAATAAATTTTTTGATAGTTACCATGGACGATCAGATTGAAGTCCTTCTCGAATATTCCTTCGGGCGTGTCTACTATACACCTGTAGGATCCGCTATCGCTGACAGCTACATTAGTTAATCTCAGGATATTGCCATGCTCCTGAGCATTTGTTGGCAGGCTCGCATGATTCGGTCTCGCCCAATGATAACGTGGGCTGCGTGTTCCAGTGCAGGTGCAATGAATATCGACTGTATCGCCGATGTTTATTGGATCTCGAGACACCTCGATGCTTACCACAGGCACTGTAGCAGCTAGAATCGAATTAAACGAACATTAACAAAATTAGGAAAACGTATATTTTGTTTTATGACATGGTGCATATCATGAAGAAGATATTACAGTCTTCGATCAATCTTTAAAATAAATTGCGAGATCTAATTGCCGCGTTTCTTTTCTTTCTTCTAGATTCTTTACATCATGTTTGAGATTCATGAAGCATTAAGTAAATAGAAAAGTAAGCAGAAAATATAAATTAAAAAATTCTTTCTTGTAAAATAATTTTTAAAAAATGAATATGTAATATCTAATAATACCTTTTTATTGATATTAATATATCAATAAAAAAATATATATATACAGGAAGCCGTTTGATGTTCTAGCAAAAAATAACATAGAATTAAAATCGAAATATATAAATGTTGGCTTATACATATGGTATTTGTTGCTAACAAGGAAGGGATACGGATGGCGTATGTGTTTCTTCAATATTACATTTTTGAATATTATTATATCATTACATTATATTGTTACAATATTATATATTTTAATAATTTAAAAATAGCTGGTTCAAAATTAACGTAACTTTTTAAAAATTTGTTCACTTGTGTTTGAGCCTGGTCTTCGATTAAGAGTCCAGTCCTAATCCGTATCCTTTCCTCGTACATTCATATATAAGCAAGAATATAAAAAAGACAGTTCACTAGTAGGAGAACTACGGGACGTCACACGACACACATATATCTCAAAACAAACCGCGTCGTCTCTGAAGATATTGGCGATAGCGCGTGTTGCGGCAGAAGCGTTCGTCAGTACCGTCGATGCACTGAACATATCCGTCGCAAAAGTATTCCATTGGAATGCATTGTAGGCTTCTGCATTGATACTCCCAATGCCTGCACTGCGATCGGTACACTGGCATGCAATCCGCAAGCAAATTAACTACTAAATCATAACGCGAGCCTTGTAAAAAAAACCTAAACTTGTGGAGACCTTCATGGAACCACGTTTGTTACATATATGATTTCGTTCATAAATAAAAGCCCAAACAATACAAAGGTTCAAAGAGACAAAAGTTCTCAGACGTTTCCTGAACGCCTCTGCGGTGTCTTTTGCCATTTGTATTGCATGAGAGTAATCCGCTGCGGGCTTGTTAGTGATATGAATTGATGCGTTGGATTAGTACAAAATCAAAAAAGAATTCAAAATTTAAAAATTGCAAATTATTTAAAATTTTTAATAAATCATTTTGTGCTAAATTATCTGCTTTTCATCGAGACAAATATGGAATCAATAGTTTTAAGACGTTTCGCGCTTTCTAAACGTAAAGTCGAAATCTTCAGGCGAACTAGTTTGGAATAGTTTCTCTTGATGAAAATCGCTCGGGAACAGCAAACAAAATATTTTGTAATAAAGCAGTTCGTAATTTAACTCTTTCGGGATTACGAGAATGAATATAAAATTCCTTACGGCATCCCGAAAGAGTTAAAAGGCAAAAATTAAGATCTCTTAATAGGCGAGACATCATTTAGCGTGGATACTGCGATCTTCAGTAGACGCATTTGGATGAAAGCAAAAGTCTATGAGATGATGCTGAAACGAGGGGGGTTCAAACAAGAACGAATACGATGATACTTACGAGAAACATTGAAATTAATGTAATCGCTGGATACACCGCGGCTAGTATGGGCCTGACAGATGTATCTTCCGCTGTCCTCCGGTTTCACTTGAATCAGCTCCAAGTAATCCTCTCCGATGCGCGCGTTGGCCGGCAACGCTTGACCCTCTCGACTCCAATGGATCGTCGCATGTTCGCGCACGTCGCAACGTAAGCGTACAGAATTACCGACATGAGTCACCACGTCTCTTTGTTCAGCACGGATCCTCGTATCGTCGTAAGGATGTTCTGTTGGAAATTGGAAATATTCGTTTTGTATTCCGCTTTTTTCTCCGAGCGCTCTTTAATTATCTTAATCGCAGTAGTATTTTGCATATAATGCATATAATAATTTTATTTTGGCAAATATTTAAAAATCATATTGCATATTTTATTATGTCAATCATTTATATCTCTTATGCATCTCAATACAAAAAAGGACACATTTTTAAAAATATGTAAAGATATTATATTTTTCTCTTAGATTTTTTTTTTCTCAATATTGAATTATTGTTTTATATATTTAAATTTGTAATTATTAAAAAAAAAAATGGAATAAAAGCGGACTGTCCTATCAACTAACCATTGACCAAAACTTCTGCTACCGCTTCCGCTGTTCCCGCTCCATTTGTTGCTTTGCATACATATTTGCCAGCGTCAGAATAGGTGATGCCATGGAATTGTAGGATGCCGCCGCTGTGCGACACTGAATACGGTAACAGGCGTCCTATAGCTTCCCATTCGATGTGCAGGGGTTCGTCTCCTTTGGCGGTGCAAATTATGGATGGATTTTCTCCGGGTCCCACTGTCTGTCGCGTCGGATTTAATTCGATTCTTGGCGGAGCTAGAAAAAAAATCAAACGAAGAAATTAATCGGCGTCCATCTGATCTCTGCTAAGAAAATTGTTAAGAAAGAAAATTTCATTTTTATTTACCTCGCAAAATATAAATTTTGCAATTTGCTTTCATATTAATTTAATCTCATATGTTACTCACATATAATTTCAAGTTGAGATTTCGCCCTGAAGAGCACAGTGCCGGCAGGGTCCAAGCCCAAGCAGATGTATTCTCCGGCCGCGTCCCTATCCACGGTCGGAATGCTTAATACTCCGTTGCGCACGGTGCTACCTTCCGGCAAGGAACGGTGATCGCTTCTCTTCCAATCCAGGTAAATGTGATTTCCATCTGGTCCAAAGACCTGACAACGCATCTCCACTTTACCGCCGTCCGGAATTCTCAAATAGTCTTTAGGAATCAATACCCCTGTGTTCGGATCTCTCTGCAAATTGCTTTTCTGCATTAAAGGTGTGTCGACGTATGTGTGTTAAAGATAAAATATAGAGTCAGAATTATAATACACACTGGTTCCTGTTGATCATCGCATGGAATGTCGCCTCTGTCACCTCTATCGGTACAAGGAATATCATCTTCATCCTCGATACGGATTTGAATTCGCTCTTCGGCTATTCCTACGGTATTCATGGCTTGGCAAGTGTAGGATCCTTCGTCGTCCGGTGAAACGGAGAATATTTCGTAAACGGCACTCAAGGGGGTAGCTGCCGTTCTGCTAAACGCTGTATCGCTGTAAACGCACGAAACGAAATTATTATATGACATACCAATAATAATTAAAATCGCTAGATTTTTTTATTAAGTTCAAACTTAATCTTTAAATTTAAATTTAACGTGTCATATATAAATTACGTATGTCTTGAATTTAATTGATATATAATCAAAATTAAATAGGTTATAATATAATTTATGCAGCATAGTTTTTCTGTTACTTAAAGTATTTACATAAGTGTGCTTTAACAATTTAAAAATTTACGCTTTGAAACTTTTTGTTGAAATTTATATTATACAATTATTATTAGCTATTCGCAAGACTGTACAGACCGTACTTACTGAATAGTTATTCCGTTCACGTGTTTGCTCCAGGCTACGTTGGGTTGCGGGTGACCGCTCGCGCTGCACATTAAACGGACTCGACTTCCACGTTTCACGTGCAGGATGCCATGCTTTGGCGTGATAGTGATCACAGGCATGGATTGTACCTCGATATGCGCGATGACCGATGTCGAGCCAACTTCGTTCGACGCGGAACAAATGTAAGCACCACCATCGTTCGCCGTGATGTTCGACAGTCTGAGGAGTCCTCCGGGCAGTTGCTCGACATTGGAGGCGAACGGTCGGTGATCTTGTCGCGACCATTGCAATTCGGGCACCGGGAAGCCGGCCTTTGCGCGGCACTGAAGATCGGCAGAGCCGCCGAGGATGACCGTTTGTACATCTTGTGGATACAGCTCTAAGATTGGAGCTTCACGAGCTGCAATATAAACGAGGAATTAAGGATTAGAATAAAAATGTATTTCTTGCATCATCATAAAAATTAAATAAATGTATTCTTATTTAATTTATGCTGTAATTTTCTTGCAATTTTAGAAAGCTTGTTACTTTAAGTTTTTTAAGCCACTTTTTTTGCTTACTCATCCAAATGAATTGTATCAAAGATTTAGGTGTGAATTTTATTTCTCTTAGGTATCACAACAGGGGATGCCTAATACAGCATTGTGAGCTTACGTTCAACTTCGATGATGGCACTGGCTTCGTAACTGCCCGCGGGACTGGTAACTCGGCAGATGTACACTCCCCGATCGGAGATCTGGGCGTTAACGATCCTGAGCGTGTCTCCTACTTGTTGGACACGGGAACTCATCGGTTCCGTGTACTTGCTCCACTTCACCTGTAAGCCTGGCTCTCCGCTGGTGATGCATCGCACCTCGGCTACCGTTCCCTGCGATACTTCCTGCCGTTCCGGCCTGACTTTGACCGTCAGTGGCTCTACGCGAGGCACTATCGTAATCCTGGCAGTGGTGCTCGTCTCCGTTCCGCGAACGGTCGTCACGGTGCACACGTATATGCCGGAATCGTGGAGGCTGGGATTGGTGATCGTTAAGATTCCGTCGCGTTGACTGGCGGTATGAGGCAACGGTAATCCGCCGGATCTCGTCCAGGTGACGTTCGTCCCGTATTGAGACGGTGTGCAAACCAATCTGACGACGTCTCCGCTGGTTCCGGACCACTCGGACGGAGTTATGGTCGGCGATTTACCTGTGGTGGGCGGTTTGTTAGGATTGTCTGTAATACAGAACAAAGTTTTCAGTGATTTCGTGTGCGCGCGAACTCTGAATTTTAAATCGATCAGTGCTACTAATTCAGCATTACGCATTCAAAATTAGTGCATTAGTACTTCGACTGTACCTTCGACATATAAGATGGTCATCTTTTCATCCGTGCCAATGTTATTTCTAGCGATACATTTATACTCGGCTGCGTCGTTCTTTGACGCGGCTGGAAGATTCCACACGCCATTGTAGAACGTTGCCTCCGGACTCATACTTCCGTGAACTCGTATCCAGTCCAGTTGGGGTGGTGGATTGCCGGTGGCTTGGCAGCGGAACTCTACCGGTTCACCCTCCGTCACTTGTTGATATGACGGAGTTATCTCGATTCTGGGCTCTACCGGATTGGCTCCTTAAAAAGGTGTATAAAAATTACGTGCTGTTTCGCGAAAACGGTTTAACGCAATTACGATTTGTACCTGGTACGTCCAGTAAATGTTTTGGAAACGCTGCGTCCAGTAGTACAATGTATATGAATTAAATAATAACACTGATTTACTAATCTAATTCTTCAATTTGTTTTTCAAAGTGGCGTAGAATGTATACGAGATGAATATTAAACTCGATACTTAAAATTAATTATGCTAGTACCTCCAACAGTCAGCGTAACTTTCTTATACCCGATGTTTATTCCATCGCTCACTTGGCAGACGTATATGCCGCTATCAGACACCTTTATATCCGTAATGACCAACAATCCTCTCGCGTCGTCCACGCTTCTGTCAGGCGGTAATTGGCCACCTTCCTTCTCCCATCTAATGGTCACTGAGTCCTATTTTCAATTGTAAAAAAAAAAATTATAATTTCATTCCCATAAAAAGATGTACTAAGTCAAAAATTAACAAAAAAGCTTACGCTATCTCTGGATCTGCCTGAACAATGATATCGAACAGTATTTCCGGTGTGAACGATCTGGAATTCCGGTTCTTGTATGTAAACTATGATCCTTGGTGGAGTTATTGGACCGCCGTCCCTTGGCGTAGTTGTTTCTGGCCGTTCTCCAACTGCGAGAGAAATTAATTCGAAAATTAATAATTTTCTCTCAATTTTCTTTTACATGACCGTGAAAATTACAAATTTAGCATATAACAATAAAGTGATGAATAATTAATGAATAACAACAGTAACGACGTTATTGAACAACAGTATGGACGTTATTGAATTTGGCATTTCTACACTGTAATGAATAAGCAATATTTATCCATAACACAGGGACACAATCACCATCACATCTTAACGAGACATCATTACAATGATCGGTTATTTCGAAGAATGATCATTCAGTATTAACTACTACAGTACACATATTTTCACATCGACAAAATGTCCGCGAACAGAGGAAAAGTTTTCCCGTAGTCATAAAGATGAATAAGTGCAACTACAAAACCCGACGAAATGCCTTCACCAAACTCGGTGACGATCTACGATGATGATCTACGATGACCTAGCGACAACGCAGACATGGTTGCAAAATGATGATCCGAGTGCTCTCCCTCGCCATGAATCACCCGTCAATGGATGGGACAAGATACGAAAGCGCTCTCGCCTATGTAGTCCGTCAAACCTGGCGTAATCGATGTCACGATCTTGACCAATTCTTTGCCACGGTAATTTACGATGTGACACTCCACATTGCAGGCGGTGCGCCCTACGTGAACGGTCCAAGAGCGGGCAGCTCCCTTCTCTGTCTTGATTATCGGGCCGATTTCGCCGCTCCGCGCAGTTACGGGAAGTCCATTGAGAGACGACAATTTAAAATAGATGTAAAACGTGTCTGGGTAGTCATAGTTGCACGTAAATTGGATCACGGAGTACGGCTCGACTTCGCCGTTCATGGGCATTAGGCTTACCATGAGTTCACCTGACCAACGTATTGTTATTACTATTCTTGGGCGAGTTTAATAGATTCTTTCGCTATAACGTAATCCCGATGAAAGAATCCTGTTCTCGTACATACAAAAATATTTAAACGTGACAAATCAGACCACTTGACTCTCTGAATTTTCTTTTTCTTTTGACAATAGAATAATTCATATATACCTTTACTATAATATAAAAATAATTAAATCCAATTCTATTTATATATCTTTTTCAAAATTCATCTTCATCTTTTTAAACAGAAATTATATTAAAATATGCTAATATTTGCATATAATTGCATTTTGAACATTAAAAAATTTCATTGACTTACCATCATTGTCTTGGCAATACTGCCCGATGTAACCTGGTAGGCAATGGCATTTGATATAACCGGATCTGTCGATCTCACAGCTTTCCTCATTCTTGTTGCATGGACAGATATTGCATTTGCCCAGATAACTGACAGATCGATCGCTGGTGTCCCTGTAATAACCGCGGGCGCAGGTTTCGCAGGAAGTGCCCGTGTAACCAGTCGGGCAACGACAAGCCTCGACCTGAGTCGCTCGTCGATTTCCGATCACATTCTCCACAGCTGTGTCCATACTGATGTCGCTGATGTATGTTGCGGTCATTCGTTCGCTGTGGGATGCGCGGACCAAGATAGCTTCCAAATTAGAAAGCACAATCATGAGATCCGTTCTGGAAGCGCTGCGCGGCCCTTCGGTGGTCAGTCGTCTCCATTCGTGTTCTTTTAACGGGACGGAGTAGGTCTGCGAAAAATATATTATTATTAATTAATAAACTTTTATCATATAAAGTTGATGCGCATTTTATTTAATAAAACAAAATAAATAATGAAAAATAAATTTAAATAACAGTCATCTATATAGAAAACAATTTCATTAGAATAATAATTCTATATTTTTTTTTAAGTGTTTCGATTGAATTATGCTTGTTCTAGATTTTAAATTCTTCGATTTCTTACAAAATTATAAAATGTAGGAAAAAAATAGATTTTATCCTACCAGTGGAATTTCAGGCTGAAGCTCCACTGGATTCGTCCAGAACAATGTGATGCCGTTGCCAATCAGCAAAATGTCTTGATCCTTATAACTCTGAGCGCCAGGATACGCGGTGATATGCTGCGTCAGTGTCAAGTTTCCACCATAACTCTTCACTTTGTTACCGGTGAAGACGCTCGGCAGCGACCAGAACAGCCTGCGATTCCTGTTGTCCGTATAACGGTAGCCAATTTCGTTCATCGCCACGTTCAGTTCAAAACCATCGTCGATTATGTCACGTCTAGTCCTGTATAAAAAGCATTAAATCAGTCAACAAATTTAAATTTTTAACAATTTCAGCATATATGATATTTTTATCATATAAAAAGAGCATATAATAGAAAAAAAATATAATTTAAAATATAATTTATGTTTATATTTAACTTGAAAAGCTACTTGGAAAAAGCTTGGACAACTTGGAAAAAGAAATTGCGTGTACTTACGAATCCGTGAGAGTGAAGCCGTGATGTGAGTCGTATACCCACATCGGTATTTGCTGTACGTACAATGTGCTCTCGTGACATTGATCAGTTACCCCGCTGCAATAACACTCGATGCATCCATCAATGTTCTCGGCGCGTAATCCGTATGTCGACGGGCGGCATCGATTACATTCTGGACCCTCGACATTCCTTTTGCACTCGCATCGGCCGTCGACGCAAGAAATACCGCGCGAACCAGCCTCGTTACATCTGCATGGCTCGGGTTTGGGCCTTCTGTACGCGCAATCATTCGGAGTGCCTCGGGTGGCATCTCCTTCGTATCCCGGTTCGCACAGCTCGCAGAATTCGCCGGTGGTGTGATGGGCGCAATTCTGTCGCAACGCAAAATATTATCAATTTTTATATCAGATGCCTTTGAGTATACCTATCTGAAAATCTAATTTAGCCATATTTTTTTATGTAACTTTAGTTGAATTTATTTTTAACTTAATATTGATAAAGAATATTATTGTATTTTAGAAAAAATACTGCATTTAAATTGACTTTATTTATTTCACAATTTAATTTATTTTTGTCATTTTGACAAGATTTTTAAAGTTAAATTATTTCCGAAAATAAGAGATTTTAATTATATTATTAAGATATAACATTTTTTTTTTATTGCTCGATTAGAACTGCTTTCATTACCTCACAAGTGCCAGTCTCAGGATCGCAGTGATTCGAATGATTATTGCAGTTGCAAGGTTCGCAGATGCCTAAATAAAGACCTTCGATGGCTCGGGTATAACCAACATCGCAATCTTCGCATGAAAGTCCTCTGTAGCCGACGGGACAGGTACATTCTTCAACTTCGACCGCACGCGCCTTACCCGTGTTGTATTTTTCAGCGGTATCCAAAGACACAAAGGAAAGTCTAAAACATATTACAATTGTTTAATAATGTCACAATAGTGTGAGAGATTTTAAAATCATTTGAAATAAATAAAATAAAAAATTGCTTTTAGTTTTAATAAATAAATAAATAAATAAAAAAATTGCTTTTAGTTTTAATTTAATAATTTATCAATCTAAATATCGAATAAATCTGCAGCTTTTTGTTTCAAAGTATTAAAAATTTTATTTGCCTATATTGCAAACATTGCTATGATTCTATTATAAAGTTATATAAAATAATCATATTTTTTTTATAAATTTTAATTTATTAACAGTTATTAAAGTTAAGAATTGAGATTCGGTAAGGATGCAAAAAGTGCAATTTTGCAATTTTCTTCGCCCATTTTGCAAACATGTGTATTGGTTCCTTAGAAAGTTTATAAATAATCATATTTTTTTCATAAATTTATTTCACTAAGACGGTTAAGAATATATGAAATTCAGTAAGGATGCATAAGTACTTACGCAGCTTCGTCTGTATGCGTCGTGTAAGTGGCTTTGATTCTGATGGCTCGTACATCCGCCAAGGCCATTAGAAGATGCTCTCTGTCCGCTTGAGTTCCGTCATTACGTTGCCAATATTGCTCGAGCAATGGTACGGTGAACGATTGTTGGGAGTTAGGTTCGGGAGACTCGCGGGAGTAGTAGAGCAAGTTGATGTCGTTAGCCTGTACGCATTAAGTCAGCCTTTATTCATATCTTTATCGTCGAGTAGGCGGATTAAAGCTCGCGAATATCGCACTCACGCTGATGAGCTCGACGTCCGCGGCGTTGTTCCTTGAACTTTGACCGCCCGGAGAAGGCACGTATCTGACGGTGTACTTGAGATTACCGCCGTAGGATGTTACTTGATCCCCTAGGAAAATGCTGGGCAACTGCCAGTAGTAGACATCGTTGTTACCACGATTCGGAAAATCGCTATAGACTATTTCCCGATTGATGGTGTTTAGATGAATTCCCTCCACGATGTCCGGTGCATCAGTGCTCTTAGATTCGATCAAGGAGAAGTCTCGGATCGAGTTGGTAAACGATACACGAATCTGCGATATACAAGTGACTGATTAAAACTCGCTTTAATTTGATAATACGTTTTCTAAAAATAGCTAATTTAAAATTTTTAAATTTTTAGATCCATGAAATCTAAAATCTCATTTATGTGATTTCTAATATATGGAAAAACTTTTTTGAAACAAAGATGGGAATAAACGTGATGTGATGTGTATATTCGTTGTGTGTACCTCGTTCCTGTACCAATTAGAGGAGACGCATCTATTGGTAATACCCATGCAGAAGCAAGATATACATCCAAATTGATTCGTCGAAGCCAGATTAAAGGTATTTGCCTTACATTGGTTACAAGTGAGGCCCGTTGCGTATTGCTGGAAAAGGAAATATCAGAGAATAAACGGCGCTTGTTGTAACGCTCACATTTTTATCTTGAATATCGATCTACGCATATATATAAAAGGATCGTATGATATACTTACATTTTCGACGTTAAAGAAAATCCACGAAAGGCGGATGCAAGAACGACAGTAAGATCGTTACGCGAAATGTAAAATTTCGGGAAGTCGCATAGATTTTTCTCGCATAGATTTTTAAGCGATTTATTTAAAAGAAAAGGAATCTTTTCTCCAAAGAAATCACGCGGTCGAGAAGACACGCGCGATTTCCGAGACACTTTGTATAAAATTGCGCGTATGTAGAAATAATAATAATAGCGTGTTATACCTTGCAATGACATTTTCCAGTATGTGGATCGGCGTTAGAACTGAGGCTGCCGTTGGGGTCACATTGTTGAAGTGGAACGCACATATCTCCGGGAATAAGAGGGTTCCCTTGGTAACCAGTGGCACATTGTTCGCACCTGCGTCCAACATAGCCAGGAGGACAATCGCAAGTGGGTTGCCCGTCAGAGCCGAGATGACAAGTACGGGCAAATCTATTTATAACATGGCAAATTAGCGCCACGAATCGAAAATGCAATATGTATTAACTACATATTACATTAAATTCAATTCGTAAATTCAATTCGTTCGCGTCTTACTGGTTCGATGGATTAGTAAGCGGGCAAGGGCAGATCTGGCAAGGGATGTTCCTTGAGGGATCGCCGTAATATCCCGGGGGACATGGCGGTTCATCTCTGTAACATTGACCAAGCCACGGTCCGCTCTCACGTCTCAGATAACCAGGTGCGCAGTGCTCGCAAGATAGACCAGTATATCCTTGAAGACGATTATAAGATAAAATATATAAATCTTCGTATCAAATTTTGTTCAAACGAATTTAATTGATTGTCAAAAAAAAATATATATATATACCAGTAGGGCACTGACATTCCTCGACGAAGGACGCAGATCCTAGACCGGTATTTCGAACGTCGGCAGTGTCCATAACTATGTTAGTGAGACGAACGTCCAGCTGTGGCGAGTCGTCGTATTTCACTCTGAAACATTTCAATGTATTAAGAAAAAAATGTTAAAATATCTCTTATAGACATAGTAATAAGATCTTGATTCCGATGCCTACTTTATAAGGATGTTGTCTACGTTCGCCAGCGTCATCATAATTTCCTCCCTAGAAGCCAAGACCTCGCTTCTCCCTTGCTGCTTGTACCAATCGCCATAGAAGAATCTGACCGATCTCTCGTTCTCGTAGTCCGGCGTTGGCTGTTCACCCTTGTGCATCAGGATATAATTGTTGCCGCTTAAAATGACGGAAGGTGCGTTGTTCGGTGTGCCGTTGCCACTGTAGCGGATCGAGTATCTCAGGAAGCCGCCGTAGGACTTCAATTGACTGCCGTGATAGTTCTCCGGCAGCGCGAAGTAGGGAACATTGTAGACATTCAGGTCATTGCTGAAGGACTCCAGCAATTGAACGCCGTCCCGGCCGAGTGGGCGGATCTGGGATATCTGATTGCTAACGTCGCCGTGGATCCTAATCGTCGGAACGGTTTCGACTGACACGATCTTGTAACGATCAAACGGCGGCGGGATCTGGTAAGTGAAGAGATCGGCGCTGCGGCACTCGGTGGCGACGCCGAAGCAGAAGCACGAGATACACTCGTCGGGGCTCTTCGCCTCGGAATTGAACTTGCCTCTCGGACAGATGTTGCCGTTCTCCTTCACGACAACGATGGCGTCCGGCACGGCGAAGACGAAGCCTCCGGCGTTCAACGCCTCGCACGAGTACGCGCCCTGATCCTGCGATTGTATGTCCGGACATGTCAACGTGCCCGTTCCGTTCGTAGATACAATTGTGCATTTCGCGGGAACATGGCCCCAATTGAGACGCCAATTGATTTCTGGTATTGGGACACCGATCGCCGTGCAGGTGAGGACCAACATGTCGCCCGGCATTAGGACGACCATCGGCGGCGGAGGTTTCACGATATAAACGGGAGCTGCAAGAAGAACAAATCAGATGTAGATATTTTTTTAAATTACAGGTGGTAGTAGTGATATTTTCTTGAAGAATTATCAGTGAAAAGTGGACAACTCGCTCTTTCTCCTCACAACAAAGCATCTAACTTTCAAAAGTTTAACATAGAGAAAGAATATGTGAAATGTATCAAAATGGCATCGCCACTTCGAAACTTTCAGATTGAAAGGACAATTGATGATTACTTTAGAAACGTCGACCGCTTCACGAAAGTTATATTGTTTAATTTAAGATAGAAGGTCGGATGACCGGCAACAAGGTATCTCGATATCTCGCGCCTATAAAATATTCATCGGTACTGACAACATCCAACTTCGTCGCTGCCGTCCAAGCAGTCGCGCTCCATGTCGCAGTGGTAGGTCTTCGGGATGCACTGCTTGTTGCTGCTGCAGGCAAACTCGTTGTAACGGCACGGGGATCCTGGGGGAGCCGGCGCGCAGTTCTCCTCGTCGCTGTTGTCCGCGCAGTCCTTGTCGCCGTCGCAGCGCCACAACTTGCTGACACACTGCTTATTATTGCAACGGAACTGGTTGGGCTCGCATCCGTGAGGACCTGTCGAAAACGGAAACGAAAACGCGCGAAAACGCTCGCGTGAAACACTCGATCATGAAGTATGAATTGCCGGGATTTGTCTGCCGGTCTCGGCTGGCTTCGGCTGGCCGTTCTACTTACTGCACCGCATCTCGTCGGATCCATCGGTGCAGTCGAATTTACCGTCGCAGATGTACGATTTGGGAATACAGTCGCCGTTGCTGCAGGTAGCCTGATCGTACTGACACACTTTCGGCGGTCTCGTGACTGGCTGCTCGACTGTGTGGCAATTGATCGCATTGTTATATATACGGCGAATAATTGATCATTGAGAACCCTGAATTTATTAGCGACTTCTCACGACTGTTATTTAAATTAAATTAAATTTAATTTCGATTTGAATTCGAACGTACATTTCTCGACGTTGAGAACGACGCTCACTTGACGGCCCGCAGTGTACGATGGATAACCGACGGCTTCGCAAATGTAGGTTCCAGCGTGGTCCAGTTGGATGTTGGGTATCTCCAGACGACCGTTGATGTCTCGGCTGCCGGGCGGCAGAGGAAGGCCGTTGCCGCGAATCCAACGTACTCTGGCACGTAGAAGACCCTCGTCACGGCATTGGAACACGACCTCGCGACCTGAGCGGAACGGTTTTGCGTGATATTAATTCCGCTCGAGTCTCGGGAGAGATTGCACCTTGATCGCTATGGATTATTACGCCCGCGGTACGTCAAATGCCCCGATGTCAATTAGTAGTCGGTAAGCAAGTAAAATTTTCCGTTTCTTGAATCGAGATAACACCAACGACGTATTAGTTCAGTTCATGCGACATTTTATTTCTTCTTAATCACGTTACTCGATACGCTGATTGCATGTGAGTAATGAGAACATTCCACGCAAGACATTTCGCAAATGTGTAATGAAATTTAGATTTTTTTTTTTAGAGAAATTAGTATCTCGAAAAGACTTTAGTGAGTAGAACATATATAGAATATATGTTTCATAATTAGCGACATCTTTCGTAAACAAATAAAGCAGATTGTGAAAAATTCTCTACCATTTTGTGATTTTATTTGCAACAGTTAATGACACTTTTTGTCAATAAAATTTTTGAATCGTTTTTAATTAATTAAAATAGAAAATTTTTGGGGATCTAAAAATTTCACTATTGTATATCAACATTCAAAAAATTTATCGTATGATAAAAAATGAAGTTTTAATATTAGTCTAATACTGGGATATCTCTTCACATTGATTCGTTTATTCGGATTTTTATAGGATTCAATATATCTCATTAAAATCATAAAGCTTAAAATGACAGATAATTTTTCTAATCAGTATTTGCTCTACCTGTCTACAGGAAATATGTCACAAATTATGAGACATATATATAACGATCAGGATTAGACACCAGATAATGGAAAATTTTGTAGCCCAATAATTTTATAACCCAAAATCTGCATTCTATTTAGTTTTGATTGATATCAGCTTTCATGCATAATTAATATTTGCATGCCAAGTTTTATATATAAATATTATTAAATTATTATTAGAGGAAAGTTGCAGATACTGACATAGATCTCTTAAAATAATATTTCCTTCCATTTTTCAGAAACTAAATATATTACATTTTATTAATAATGATAAAAACAGATGAAGAAATAAAAATTTATAATTTATCTACTTGTGACTTGTTTCTATATAGAACTAGCTAAAAACAAATTTAAAATAAAATCTTTATTATTTTTAATTCTCTAAAACTATCACATATATTTATATTTTTCTTTTTTCTATTTTTCCTCATAATGTAATTTTAAAATATAAAATACATAAAATTGGAGTCAGTATAAACTGACACATTGTCAAGATACAACATAGTAACCAAATCTAATCTTCATCTGTCGCGATTATTGAATTTAAATTACATGTATTTTTATATATATATTTATAAAAAAATCTATTTAAGCTATATTCTTTTGTGCCATATTTTTATATTATAGTGTTATTGTATTTCAGCTAACCTACAATCAGTGATGTTAGAATTTAGATGCAGTTTTTTTTTATCCTATATAGGGTACTTTTTATTTAGTGACACAAATTGACACAAGTATCATTTTTTAATAATCATTAATGCCAAGAAAGATAGAACGATACTTGTGTCTACTTGCGTCACTAAATGGAAAGTATTCATATAGTAGAGGAAATAACTGAATGTGCCATATGTATGCAATTTTTAGTTGCATGCGTTATCTCGTATTCTCTATGGGGCAGAGTAGATAAACCGCGTCTAGATACAGACGTTGCTGCCTATCATGTAAATTTTGAAATTTAATTTCTTAAACCTTTATTTTTGTTTATTTCATGACAAAATTAATTGCAAAATATAAAACAGTATTATAAAAATTATTATGCCACTTGATACAAGACACTTCTAATTTGTTTTTACATTTCCAAAGTTTTAGCTGTTGTTAAAGAAATATCCAAAAACGAAGTGATATGTCAGTATTAGTGATTTTCCTCTAACGAAATTCTTCGTTATTAATTTTATTACAGTTTTATTAAAGTTGTATTTTCTTTATAAATCAAACGTTATTTTTGTAGTTTTATGACGCAATATGTGTATGTGTGTGTGTGTATATCCATGAAATATTGAACATTAAATTATATTTAATAATCGTTAAGTTTACTGAAAATTTTTAAGGTCAATTCAAAAGTATTCTATTGCTTATTTTGCTCAAACAAGTTTTTGCAATAGAATAAAATTATATAATACAAAATTACATATAGACATATGTACATACATGTATATATAGACACTTATATATGTACATCGTAATTGAATACCTATTTTGAATACATATTTTCAATTTTGCACATCTAATGATTTATGAAGATTATTTTAGCCCACAGCATGATTTGCAGCTTAAATTTTTTGAAAAGTCTTACCTTGCTTCGCCGGGTCTGGCCAAGGCAAGAAAAAAATAACAAACATTCATTAATTAATTCTCTTTCGAAATATACTAAGTTGTCAACGCGACACTTGTTGCTTATCATTATTTCATGTTAATTTTTCTACTACAGATAAATATGATTACTGAGATATTTTAGTTAAATAATAACTGTACAAAAGTTGAAATTGCAACAAATGCATATACAACATATCATCAAACTCTGTACATGGCTTAGCAATTAGGTCAATAATACTTACTTTCTTTGATCACTTGTTCACTGGGGTAAGTCTTCAGCCTAAGGTCAGATGTTCCATCGGTATCTGCACACGAACAAAAATAATAATAATTACGATAATAATTCATATAATAAATAATAAAAAAAATTATTAATTATCATGATTAATAATTAATAAGTTTATGTACATAATTAAACGTTGCATCACATTGTTAATTCAATATTTCTACCCGACACCTTTCTGCATTCTTCGTCTACGAAAAAATGCCATTTATGATTTTAGTTTCAATTATTAATTTTTGTATGCATAATGCACAGTGTAATGTCTGCTGTTACGTTATCTACGTGCATATGCGCCGTTGCAAAAATTGAGATTTCGCAATATTCCTCATATTATTCATCACAAAATAGACATTTGTTATTCTGAGATTAAAAGTGTGTATATTACCGGCTAAGGGCGAAATTTAAATGATGGAAATACAATACACAGACTCACTTCTGCCTGTACTCCGTTCTCCGCTGGAAATGTGGATAATAAATACCTTTTAGTGTTACACAAAACATTACAAAACGTTACACCGCCTGTGTTACGTTACAACGGGTATTACGTTACGGTGTCATAGATATTTATCAAGGTATTATTGATTAGCGCATGGCGTGTTATCGGCCAGTCGTGCGCTTCCCCTTTTGCGAAGGCGGCCTCCGTTCTGGGTGACTAACTACAGGGGGGAGACTCACAATTATCATAACTGCAGTCCATCTCATCGGACATGTCTCTAGGACAATCGAGCCTTTTGTCGCACCGCTGATGCAGCGGGATGCAATGGCCGTCGTTGCACGTCCACTCGTGTGCACCGCACCTACTGTGATTTCTTTGCATCGCGCTATAGTCACAGCCCAACTCGTCGCTGTCGTCATACGGGCAATCGATCCGACGATCGCAGCGTTGATGCTGAGGTATGCACTCGCCGCTCTTGCATCTCCACTCGTCAAAGTAGCACTGCTTTCCGCTTTCGTTATCTTTAGTTTTGTACGTTAAATTATACGTGTCATTGTCATGTAATTTTCGCCAAAAGATTACTTGGACTATCTTGGACGATTCGGCGAGCATGCCGGGAAGCCGCTTCGTCAATTATTAATTCTTACTTACTCGATATACGAGAATTCACTGAAGGAAGTCTCGCAAATCTTATCGAACTCGCATCTAGCATTTTTACTTTAATATTTTATATATGTGCACGCACGGTGGCATATCGTTGTCAAATTTAATCATGGACATCGTCGACTTACCGCAGTTATCCTCGTCAGAGCCATCTCGGCATTCCGGAATCCCGTTACAGATGGAGGACAGCGGAACACATCTTCTATCCGAAATGCACATATATTGATCCACAGCGCATTGACCCGGTGATGGTTCTGGTGGCTCTAATAAAAGAGAAAAGTCAATAAAGATTTAAGAGAGAGGAGGAAACGGAAAAGACAAAGTCAGGAAATCGTATATCAAACTACCATCTCGAGGGTATCCGCTACTCCACTTTTATAAATTACTTCGAATTGTATAGATCTATTTCCGCGAGGATCTCTTTCCCATTACGTCACGTAGGTGCACCGCCAATCTGTTCGTCCATAAATACTCACCGCATTCCTCCTCGTCGGTACCGTCGGCGCACTCGATGTACCCGTTGCATCTCTGATCGGCGCGGATGCAATCCCCGTTGTCGCACTGGAACTGATCGCGCGTGCATCCTAAAATGAGAACTCGCGTTGTACGCCAACGAGAACAGCCACGAATCGTCGGTATCCGTTAAACAAACGATATAGATGAGACACAGATACATGTAAAATGTCAGCCATGGAGCCATCATATGTCCGTCATTACAGTCTAAACAATAATCTAATACGTCGAAATATATACGATATATATATATATATATATATAAATACGATGGAGGATAAAGATTTCATTACCTAGAAAAGACTGAATAAAGTGATCTGGAGCAGAGCTGTCTGATCTGCGCTCCTTCTCTGCGTTCGCCTCATGTTTTCTCGCTGTCGATTTGAGACAGCTTTGCTCCAGAATCTAGATCGTATATCGGCAATCAGATCACACAGTAAAAACCGATGATATCCCCGAAAATATCTTAGGCCCAGTTGCAATGTTATTTTGAGCGAGATTTAAACGCGTATCCGTCTTTATTTTTCTTTCTGAAATAAATAAAGGCAGACACATATTTAAGTCTTAAAGTCAAAATAACGTTAGTGCAATCGGCCCTTAATGAATTAGCTTTTTTTTTTTAATATTGTGTGCGCTGATTGTCATCTCTCTGTCTACGAACACTTATAATATAATTCGTCATTCAATATAATGTAGACTGAAGAGGAAAGACATTTATAATCCTTTAATCCTTACATACGATTTTGTCAATTTCGATCAACGCGCCGCGAATATATGCGGACGCTATAAAATAATGTTGTTAAATATTAATTTTCTAAAGTTTCTCTTTCCAAAATGTAATACAAGCTGTTTGCTCGTACAAAATTTTTTCTACAGGTAAAAATGTACTTTCCTCGTGCTATGCATGCCAAATAGGATTTATGCCAAACGTTCTACCTACGAGAAAAATAAACGATCTAAAATTTACACCAGGCAGAGATGCACTATTACTTAAAGATGCGCCGGGTAATATATAAGACTGCGATGATTATAAATTTTAGAAATATAATCAAGTCTCTACTGGAACAACCTACACATCTTCTATTCAGCTGCTAACACAGATTGGCAGAAAAGAATATAGATCCAAGAGAATCTGGTGTCTTTATAATTATATTTCAGAATATCTCGCAAATAAAAATTGGTGTATTCGAGAGGACGTGAGATTTGAAAAATGTAATATAAAAATAAAGTGTAATATAAAAATAGAAAACTTACTCAAGGATAATTAATATGAGAAATACTAAGAATAAGAAATTATTAATCAGAGAGAATAATGAGAAAAAAATTTTTTTTAAATTGTAAATGACATATAACCATTATTTTTTTAACAATGTCAAGCTGTCAATCACGAGTGGTTTCTTTCGGGGTCAATTTTCTTTCGGTCGGAAAGATTTTTACGTTTTCGGGAAAAACGAGAAAAACGCGGAAATGCGCGAGACTTTGACGCGGGGTACGAGTGTGTCCACCAGATTTTCGAGATCGACAAATAATCTAACCGAAGCAGTACTGTTCGTCGGTAAAGTCGCGGCAATCGTAGAAATGGTCGCAGTGGTGGGTTTCGGGGATGCAAGTGCCGTCGGCGCAAACAAAATCATCCGGAGCACAACTCCTCGGCGTGCTCAGATTTGTCGGCGGCACATCAGCATTTGCATCTGTGTCTGGGCTGTAAGCCTCGTTATCCGGATTCACACCGGCTATCACCCCCGGCGTCTCTGGACGACCCCCCGAGGAGGCTCTATCCGAGGCGTCTACACCTAGAAGTAACTCAATCTGAGCTGCTGGTGTTCTCATGGACGTGCCATTTGTGTATTGGTGACGCGGCCGTGACGCCAGAAAATCACAGAGGAGCATGAGGCCCTCGTCTTGCCCGAAGGCCGTCGCGCGTAAGCAGGACTTAAAGCGAGTCCGGATTCAGTAATCAGATAGAAGCCTAAGACAAGCACGCGATTGTGCCTTGTGCGATTGTGCCCTCGATCATATCCCATAAGAATCATCTTTCCTTGGACTCCATCTTAGAATTTATTTACATTGACGATTTTGAGAGGCGATCGTGACCAATGGTTTACGGAGCTTATTAGCAATAATAATAACTCGTCGCGTGAAGCATAGGCCGAGGTGGGATTAAAAATTTCAAACTTTGTCTAAGAAAATATTCATATTTAATTACACGTGACGTAAGGCTACGTCACGTTATGAGAAATAAGATTGCCATCTCGACTCGTGCTCTTCCAATGTCGCTTTAAGTCCTGGCTACGAATGCAATCCGTAGGTTGAATTATATCAATAAACATGAATCGGCCAACCAGAGAGAATTCTCGAATATCCATCTTCTGGATATTTTATCGATAAGGCTCATTCTCCCGGACCTAAATTAACGCAGCTCAGGGAGACGTCGCGAGCTTTGATTTCCGAATGTTGACCTACCTCGACGGCAATTAATCTCGTCTTCATCGTGCGGACAATCCGCACGTCCGTTGCATACCGCAGATCGAGGGATGCAGCTGCCGTCGGAGCAGATGAAGCTGTCGGGGTGGCATTCTTTGCCCGCACCGCTGGTCTCTCCACTATCCGCTGCAAAGTAGAAACGGGGCGCGCTTTATCAAGAGCATTTCTCGAATAAAAATTCGCTGAGTGGACAGAAAAGAATTTTTTAACGACCTTAATTAATTTCAAAATGCATCGGTGCATTTTGCGAAACTTAAAAAAAAATATTCCGCACAACGGGGTGTTTTGATGTAACATTTGCAAATAAATTCGGGTATGTCGGCTTTCGGCGAAATAGCGGAAAATGTATCTATCTAAAGATATCCTTACGGCAATTTCGTTCGTCACTAGAGTCATGGCAGTCGATATTGCGGTCGCAGAAGAAGTTCTTATTGATACAGACGCCATTGTCGCAGGGTAATTGGCCGTCGGGGCATTCTGCAAAAATCAATCAACTCCGTTGAATGGCAAACAAGAACGAGAGACCGAGGAGGAGGAGGGGGGAGGCGACAAACGATACGACAGGACGTCCTCCGTATACGTGTAAACGGTACGAAGCGGCAATGTGCACGTTTGTCTAATAACAATCGTTCGCGAACGGCTATTCTTGCGTCTCGCCAGATCATCGTGACGAAATCATCGTGAAGAATACCCTCGCGTGAATCAGCCGCAAAAAAAAATTGCGAACATCGGCTGCGATTTGTGTCTGTAACTCGTGTTACGCGCGCAGCCCTCGCCCTCGCACGGAGGAAATTAGATGCGCGAGGTTGACCAAGTGCCTTCGATAATTATCGATCGATAAAGAGTCCCACGAGAGGGTGCTTCCTCCCGCGATGGACGAGGGACGATAAAAGTGCACCGGAGCGGCTCCTCAAATGGGGTATCTTGCACATTACCGCGTGTCGTATTATCTCAGGAAAACACGAATACGACGGCGCGACGCCGCGTGCACTCTCGTTCTAAGAATGGGATTACCGGGAAAAGAGAATTTTTTTTGAAAAAATTGCAAATATGCCGATTTACAATCTCGCGGTTGTGCGCAATTTCGCCGGTGACCGGATTAAAATTCAAAATTGAGATTTATAATGATAATACCACGCTATAAAATGACGCTTTACTTTACATCAAGCCAGTTTTGCTCGGATCATTTCACGGGAGCGCGTCGGCCCTTTTTTTTTTTTTATATTAATAAATAACAGGTTAAACTTAGTTTCTCAAACGCGGAGAGAGGCCCATCGCGCAAAACGTGACATTTACAAAAGTTCGCGTTACGTCAGTCGCGAGCTTTTACGCGTTGTACGCAACAGCAGAGCGCGGTTTGTGCACGCGTCAGCGCGCGGCGTGGAAAATTGCGAAGACGTAAATAACCGGAGGTAAAAGGGTATCAGAAAAAAACGTATATATACATATGCAATCGTATACACCGATATACATATATATATATATATATATATATATATATATATATATATATATATATATATATATATATATATATATATACTTGTATACATATATTTTAGATATGTATATATACAAGTAGGATGCGCAATTCAAAGATCAGGCAACCTGTGCTGAAAAAAATAAACGAATAGTAAGATAGTAAGATAGTAGCCGTATACAGATAGACAAGTAGAAAAGACAGAGAAAAGTAAAGAATAGGTAGAGTTAGTTCGATCCCATCCATAATCGATGCAAAATGCATGTCAAGAAGTCAGAGCGCGTAATCAAGATATATTATGTTATGAAACGCAAGTACATTATTGAGTATCCAATATTCAAAATCAAGGCACAAACAGCTATGAGAATCAAGACACAGTGAAATATAGAATGACTGAATGCAAAACACGAGAAAAAAATAACGATGAATCGGGTCGCTTAATTATTACTTCTTGTCGCGTCTATCGTTAATATCTCATCGCTTTATTTCATGGTGTCTCGATGTTATAGATATAACAAGATACATATAGCTAAAACATAGAAAGAGAAATTATTGATTGCATGTGAGAAAAGACAAATCGTAAAGGATGGGAAATTGATGGGAATTCGTTTTTCGAAAGATTATAAAACTCGAAATGCAAAATCAGGACAGCTTTGTCATTATTTAGATTTCTACGTTCTTATTTCCCTCCTCATTCTGTTTCATTCCAGCTATTCATATTTCATCAAAGTGTCATCGTTTGTATTATATCAAAGATTCGTAAAATGGCTTCTAAATCAATCACACATTAAAGTTATTTTTCACACTCGCCGTTTAAATTCTGTTACTGTAATCGGTATGGAGGTGAGAAAGAGAATTAGGAAAGAAATCAAATATTTCGAAAGCGGTCTCCGAGTTCGACAATCGATAGTCAAGTTTCGCGGGAATGAATTCCCCTGATTTCGATTCATCCATCTTTGACAGGGTCGCTTTGGAAGAGGGGAGAGGGGAGGGGGCAAGTGACTAGAGGGCAAGTGGTGCCGCGACACGTCGGTATTCGAGTTAATGGCCAGTCAACGTCCGGCTAAAACCGTGCTCGAACGATCGATACAGGGCGACGAAATGAGATTAACAGCTTCCGCGTACGTGTGTGCGCAACCGTGCGCCCGTATTAGTTACACAGCCTCTTAATTGCCGACTTGAACATCGACGTGCGCGCGAGAAGTCGTTCGAGCGGCCGCACCGCCGCCGCCACCGCCGCCGTTCGTCGCGTCCCGTTGCAGTTGCTGTTGCCGCAGTTGCAGCTGCAGAGCAGCGGAGAGAACAATTCTGCTGACAGATCTACACAAATCTGACCAGATGCTGAAAATAATTTTGCCGGACCATCAAAATTATTATGGATGTTTAAACATAATAATAATAATAATAATAATAATAATAATAATAATACTGCAAAAATTCTTCTAGCAACCAATTTGAACGACAATAAGGCCGATAATTTGAACGATAATTTTAAAGGCCAAACAAAATTATTTTTAGATCTGGCGATTTTTGCCAACAAAAGTGTTCTTTCTTTATGACTAGCCGTTTATAAACGTCAGCACGATCGACGTTCTCGCATAGATTTTTTTAGATCATTCGGAGAAGTCGTTCGTGTCTTAGACTTTCAGAAAATTGAACGCGATGGATTTCGAGCGAGTTTCGCATGCTGCACCTTTCATCGTGCCTTGTCGCGGTTTGTCTTGTGTCAAGCGAAAGGATGCGAAAAGTGGAGCACGCGAAGCCGATTTCGATGAGAAAGTTAATAGAAATATCGACGAAGATAAAGAAATAAAGATTTGAAATTAATAAATAAGATCAAGTACCAAGAAATAAAAAAAATACGGCGATTAACGGTCGCGGCACTTAATCCTTTTATTTATTTCAAGTCTTCAAACACTGAAACACACATCATTGAGCACCATTTTAGTAACACACGATGAGATCACGCAAAACTGATTGACGAGCAAATGAATTAGCAATTGGTTGCATTCATTCACTGTTAATTCGCTAAGAGTCATAACAAGAATATCATACATCGCAAAAAGTATCACGACCCACAAGAATGCTGACAGAAAATAGTTTAGAAATAAAAAGAGAGGAGAAAGTAATGATTATGAAGAGAAATTAAAAGTAAACAGTGCACGAAGAAAAATTATCGTTTTGATTGGCAGGTTTTAATTACTACAAAATTGTTTACTCGTAATATCGAGTCTCGCCGCTGGAATTAATATGAAATTAACGATTTAATTATTGTGAAATTAATGATAATCTTTCTTCGCGCGGATCACCGATACAAATAATGCGCTAAGAAGGACACAGACCTAAGTTATAAAAAATGCAAATCTCTTTTTACCAAAAGGTTTAAACCAAAAAAATAAAAGGAAAAACGAAAATGCAAATAATTTTTATAATTATAATAAAACAACCCATTCTAACTTGTTCAATGCAATACTATTGAAGATACCATTCGAATGGCGTCGGAGTGGCTACGAAGCAACACTTGTCCGAATTGCATTAGGTCGATTCTATGCCTTAGGTCTATATCATCCTCGATGCGTGAAATAAAGCTAAATAAAAAAAATCATTGTTACGAGGGCAATTGATCTCGTCGGAGCCGTCCAAGCAATGCGGCCGGCCATCGCAACGTCTCTTAATGTCGAGGCACAATCCGTCGTTGCAGCGAAACTGCCCAGCCCGACATTCGGTTACTACAATAATTACCAAGTCTCATGTCGAATATTATCGTGCATGCTACCCATACGGGAGAGGGAGAGAGAAAAAAAAATGGCCTTACCACCGCGGAATCCCAAGTATTTGTTCAAGACAATCAAACAACAGTGTAAAACTAAAGAAACGTGCTAGCATCGCACGGAAACAATATTTTATTAACATTTAAGCAATCGCGGCAGGATATATGTCCATACAAATCTTTTTTATTCTCTTATTTACAATAAGGGGGATTTACATATCAACTCGTATCGATTTTGTAATGTAAATATAAAATCATTTTTCACCTCTTAATTAATTTTTTCCACAAAAGACAAAACACGTATATAAAAATTAAATGTATGTAAATTTTAATTGTATGTACTTTATTAAATGTTGCATGTACTTTATTAAATGTTGTATTATGATTTAATTTATTTAGTTTATTTTTTTCATGAAATTTTCTATCGGCCATATTTTTAACGTAATACGTATCGTGAGTAATGAAATTTCTACGATTACTTAAATGTTAAACAAACGTGGGAATGCTCGTGTAAATTATTACGTATTTCTTATCTCTCTCACACACAAACACACACACACACACACACACACACACACACAAATAGATGCTGCTTGTCACCTTTGTTAGTCATATATTATTGTACTTTGCTAAGTACACTAGCCACTCTGTTCTAATAAGTTTCTACGATAAAGTAGAACGATCAATCCTTATGTGAATTCATCGGGACATTCACTCTTCTTGCAATTTGTCCAATTAATATTGTTATGATCTACTTACGCGAATTTTTATCATGCGCTTCCAAATTTTCATACCGGTTATACTCTCAGAGAGACACGTGCTCCATTAACAACGTAGACAAAACACAACGTGCGACATCACGCTGATCATGCAACACATGCGAGTGTGACCTCTTTTGCAAAGAAAGAATGCGATGTCGAGTGGAAATGCATTTCATGCATAGAATTGTTATTTTGATCTAGGATTTCAGAATTTTAACGAATTTACATTCAACAAATACAATGAAATATATTTCTGATCCATAAAGAAATCAAAATTTGTTTGAAGATATTGAAATTAGTATGAGAATAAATGATGCTATCATATCATATAACAAACTGAAACGATTAATTTATACATAAAAATAATTTATACATAAAGTAACTTAAAAAGTTAATTTTCCATAATTGCATAGACATTAATGATAATTAAGATTGACAAAGAAAAATGCATCATTAGACATTTCAGCATTTAATTTTGCAACATGCATAATTAATAACACATCTGTCTAGGTAAAAAAAAAAATTATTCTTATGAGAATTCCAATAAATCGTAAATTACTGTGACCTGCAATATTCCTTTTGTGTGACGAAATCTGTAAAAATTTAATTGCGACTGGTCGACGAGCAAGAGCAATGAGAAGGCCATTTTTTAAAAACAATTGCGGGTAAAAGCTGTTGCATAATTACCGCATCGATCCTCATCGGATCCATCGCTGCACTGCATTATCCCATCGCACCTTTGGTTTTCTGGCAAGCATTCACCACTGGCGCACTTCCATTCGGCAGGTGTGCATACCCCTTTACGATACAGACATGTCGAAAGCTCCCGCAAAAAGCATTAGGGAGGATTGGGAAATAGTCGGGATTATCAATGGTGTTATTATAATTATCGTATATTACGTAAAGATGATAAAAATTTCAACAGTGATGACAAAAGTTTGAGTTCAATTATTTTCAAAGGAAATAAAAGGCATATAAAAATTATTAAAAGTTTATAAAATCTTTGATATAAAAATTATGAACAATTATAATCAGTTTAAATATAATAGCAATGCTGAATATTTGTGGTAATGCTGTGACATCATTAATGAACTTTTAAATTGAATTGTCGATAGCGAACATTATCGGTATTTATTTCGAAATTAAATAAAAATAAAAAATAAAATTCGATAAATGTGTATAAATAAATAAATGTATTCTAAATCAATCCATCAAATCAAAAGTACTAAGATTCATCAAAAGTAATAAGATTCATCTTATGCATTTTCAATATCATTTCATTTTGATAATATAAAAAATAATTAAACATGAAAGATATAAATAAATGTAAAAAAAAAAAAGCAAAGTATTCTGTCATTAATGACAAAATAAATACATAATTTATAAATAATAACGACATAATAAAACATAATTTATGTCAAACTTATGTTAAAATCATTCGTCATTAAAAGATCGAATTATTAAAAAGAAAATTATTAACGACGAGCCATCATTAAATAAAAGTAATAAAGTAACAGGATTATATTTCAAAAGACTTTTTACTTGGTAAACGAAAGGTTTTCTTCACGCTTGTAAAATCAAGGAACCGTTTGTCATCGTTAATATGGGTATGCGGAAAGAGGAAATCAGGAAACATTTGTCATCGTTAATATGAGTATGCGGAAAGGAGAGGAAAAGGATGGGCTGTGAGAACGAGGTAAAGCCCTTACCACAGCCCCGCTCGTCGCTGCCGTCAAGGCAGTCGAAGATATTGTCGCATTTACGCCGCAGGAGAACGCAACCGCCGTCATCGCAGCGCATTTCCTTCCTCGGATCGCATTCCCTTCTGCTTTCGGGTGTCCAGCGTGGATTGAGCAAGTCTGAGCGCATACACAGGCACATTCAAGAGGAAATTCGGCAAAGAGGGGAGGGGGGGGGGCGCATCGAGCGGTGAGAGACAAAATTTAAAGGTACACTCGCAGCTAGATATGCAGCTAGAATTGCTTTCTATCACGCAAACGCAACCGTAATGCAGCTGAAGATGCAACGAAGAAACTAAAAGGAGGATGCGCAAAGGCGTAGACGTGGCAGGATAGGCGTAACGCTTGCGTAAAAATGCCCTTTGATCACATTTCCATCAAATTTTCTATTTCTCACTTTTTATTATCCTTTCCGGTGATTAACAGACGGACAGACACCGTGTTGTGATCGCCGGAAGAATAATAAATAAGGGATGAAGCGTTCAAAGATACTCCTATCAAATATCATTATCTGTGTTATCGAGTATTCATGCAGTAATGTGCAGCTACTCGTGTGTCAATGCATGCATATATATATATATATATTTGCAAGCTGCCTTATGTCGTGACGACGATTCGCGGTGCGAACGGGCGAGAGTACACCGTCGACAATCATCGTGAATCTTCCGTACGGGGATTCCGTGCGGGGCAATACGCTTCCGGTGTGCTCCGACCCTTCCGCACTCGGATGGTATACAATAAAATGGAGCCGTTGTCGAGAACTCGGTTTGTTGAAGAAAAGAGAAGAAAAAGGAAGGAAGAGAAATCTTTCTACATTCTTCAATAAGTCGCCTCAATAAAGTTTAGCAGTCGCGTCTCGTAAGTATAAATTCTCCCCCGGTCCGATAAAACAAATGTTACAGGACAGCCGTCGCGTCTTTAGAGAGGCAACGAGACGGAGAATCGCTTTCTCGACCACGGCCGTGGTAACGATTGATCGTGAGAAATGCACAATGAAATACAATCCACCATCGTCGAGTGTGTATCCGCTCGGCCAGCTAGATCCACTTGTCCCGCGTAAATAAGAGTTCCTTAAGAGGATTCGACCGAAACCAAACATTACCTCGGTCTTACCTCGAGCGAAGGCGGGCAACTTACTTGCAATATCAGCCCGAAGATATATTTTCAAATCATTTTTATTCTTTAACTTTCCCGCGGGGCGAATAAGAAGAATACACGCGACGGAAACCAGTTGCGTTCGATAAGAAGAGAACGTTTATTAAACAGTCACGAATGGGGAGAGCTATCGTAATCGGTAACTGCGATAAATTATTTTCTTTTTTTTTTTTAAATACGTAGCGTTCGTAAACTTTAATTTTTTCTTCGCGAACAAAAATATATTATTTATACTTTTCCAAAGTTTTTCGACGCGATCGAGTCAACGTTGAAAGATTTCAATCATAGAGCTGTCGAGGTTGTACGAAATCGAAGTGATTTAGCGGCGTAGCGGCGGAGCACATTGCTGGACGAGGATGCACGGTATGTGACGTATGAATGAAGCGATGGACACACTGAAAAAGGAGCGTACTGGTGGTAGGCGAAGTGGTGTGTGTAGTGTCGTTAGCGGACGGAGCGCAGTTATCCTCGTCGCTGTGATCCGGACAATCCGAATGGTCGTCGCACCTGTAGACGTCCTCGATGCACTTGTTCCCGCTGGCGCATTTGAACTGGTTAGGCGTGCATTCCCGCTCTGTATTTTGTTTTGTTCAGCGGACATATGCGCAAAGAACACACACGTATTTTTACACACATATAGAAAGTCACTCCGTGTATGTACATATGCATATCGGCTAGATCGGAAGCGGAAAGCGCGCCGAGACACTCTCGCAGAGACACTCTCAAACTCACTTTTCCGAGCGACTTTACCGTCTCGCTCTCTCTCTCTCTCTCTCTCTCTCTCTCTCTCTCTCGAACTTTCCTCTTTTTAATTGATATAGCGTATCCCGCCTGCATATTGTTCACATTCGCGAAAGCAAAGGAAAAGCTGCTTCTGGGATAACGAGAGCGTCATTTGGCGATTACGGCTTGGAAGGGATGAGGGAGAGTTCGCATTGGAAAAAAGATAGGTTTTGCTGAAGCTAAAAATAAACTTGGACACGAACACGGGTTTGAAAATAATTTTGTTGGTCCGATAAGATTATCTTCAGATTTAGTATCCTAAATTTTTAGATATCTCTGCAAAACCTCTGTTCTTTCCGTGTGATAATTATTTTCGATTCGCGGATATTCGATTTATTTATATCGGGCACGAGCTATCTTCCGCGTTGAATCCATCGGATGGAATCGTGAAAAATAACTCGCCGTATTGGTTAATGCGAATTACGACGTCGCGTGCGCTGCGCGAAAAATGTATCGTGACGATAAGCGAAGCCACCCCTTCTGCGCGGGGGGATCGAACTATAGTTTCGCGGGAGGATACACGATTATTAACTCCCCGTAAATGTGTGTAATGGTCCGCTATTATGAGGTCGTTTGTCAGTCGGCGAACGATTCCGGTATTTACAGTCCAACTTCGCGGAAAGAATCGTGGTTTCCGTGCATATATCGATGCGTAATAATTGCGTGTTTTTATTCGTGAAATTCGATAGTAAAGCGCGGCTCGAGTAGACGTAAGAAATCATCCACGAATGTGAATATATTTTATATGATAAATATGTATTATATTAAATTATGTTTAAAAGGAGCGTATCGCAATGAATTGAATTATCCTGGAATAATAATGATTATGTTATCTCACAAAATTAATTGTAAGATATTATATCGAAAAGTTGTGTTTTCGTTTTACATAAATTATATCTAAAATGTAACGGTGTTATTTAGATCTCGCGTAGAGAAGTTCATAAGTTCATAAGGGAAAATGCGTTAAAGATAATCATGAAGTTTTATTTACATAACTGTATAACAGATGTACGTGCAGAGACTTTAAACGCAGATTTCGCTGTCACGTTTTATTTACCAAATGTTTTTATTTACAACTAACAGTGCAGTTGTTAAAACAACTCTTACAGAATTACTAATAGCTTTTTAATAGATTTCTATATATATATATATATATAGATATATTTTATATATATATATATAAATTAATTAACGAATCTATTGTTCCAATATTCAAAATCTGCGATTAATATTGTTGGCTCTGATCATGTTAACGATGGATCCGAATTTAAGCTTTGTAATTAGCGTCTAACCAACACGGAACAAGTTCGTGATTAGATCGAGGTGAAATCATTAAGCGATTGGTCCAATGGTAAGCGTTGTATCAAGTGCAAGCTAAGCAGGGTTTCGAGAAAACGGCATAAAGAAAGAGAGAAAGAATTGGATGAATCATAACTTTCACACTCTTGCATTCGAATCAGATAATGCATTTTTTTCTATAGTCAATAAATTGAATTGTCAAAAATATAATTACAAGAGGACAATAAAATATTCTGAATATCATTTTTACAAGATACTTCTCATCTGAAACACTTATTTAAAACAAAAAACAAACATATTAAAACAAGAATAAAATTATTAATAAAATTAAAAAAATTGATCATTCGTTATGTAATTTCAGCGATATTTCATAGGACGTTTTGCGCAAACCGCCTATCGGGCCAAATACCATAACAGTACGAATAAATAATTTGTAACAATTATTCGAAATCAATTTTTCTGCACGTTTGTAGTTAAAATTCCATCGCGCCACTTGTTATTGTTCGAATCGCGTAACGATATCGATAAAACGCAACAAAAATATTACGTTTCAGTTCAAAAAGAATTTTTTTCAAAGCTCGAGTTGCATTAAACGCCAAAATAACATTGGTTGATATTACGCCAGCAAGTCATCCATACATTCCCTCTCTCTCTCTC